TATATATACAGTACATATATATAAATAAAATAAAAATAAAAAAATAAAAAAATATATATATATAGCTACTATATAATTAAGCTGAATGGAGTAAATATTGACAAATGTTTAAAATGTAGGCAACTTGACATGTTCTGCTGCACTGTGATACTTGTGATTACAACATTCATTAAAATATCAGTGATCTCATTTTAAATGCATAAAATGAGGTAAATATTCCACAGTTACAGATTTCTCTAAGTGAACAGATGTTTACAGTGTCCCCTGGAGCTGTATGTGCGTGCAGCAATTTAATCTTTGTCTGAGTTTTATTACCTTCTAAATTCTTCTCTGCTGTCATTTTATTTATGAGGACTACGTAGATTTGAGAGTTTGTGTTAGTGTTGCGGTTAAATTATATGATCATTGTGTCTGTATGTCTTTCCAGGAACTGTTTACAGCTGAGTGCAAGTTTAAAGAGTCGGTGTTTGAGAACTACTATGTGATCTACAGCTCAATGCTCTACAGACAGAAGGAGTCGGGCCGGGCCTGGTTTCTGGGCCTCAATAAAGAGGGACAGGTCATGAAAGGCAACAGGGTCAAGAAGACCAAACCAGCTGCTCACTTCCTGCCTAAACCTATAGAAGGTGACAAACAGGAGTTCAATCAGTTTTAGTCTGATTTATTTATATATATAAAAAAAGTTCTGTAACCAAGTTGTTTTCTGTTCTTCTTTCAATGTTTTCTAGTTGCAATGTACCGAGAGCCATCGTTACACGATGTAGGAGAGGCGGTGCCTAAACTCGCAGGGGGCCCGCCTTCCAAAAGCACAACCTGCGAGCCTGTGGTCATGAATGGGGGCAAACCAGTCAGCAAACCCAGCAAGGAGGAGACATAACCCCACCCARCATTTCAGCCTGATCCCCCCCACCCCGGCTGACTGGAGGCCAGGAAAAACCACAAACTTGCCCCACTGCTGCGCTCTCAAAAAAAATAAAATAAATAAATAAAAAACTGTAACACAAGGTAATAAACAAATAATAGAGATAAGCTCTAAAAGGACCGTTATGGGGCTGAAATCTGGCCTCGCCTCTCCCTACTGGACAGTGTTGTGGGGCAGCGCCAGAGGGACTGCAATACAGTTGGTGGTGGGAAAAGAAGATGGTAAAACCTACCAGACATATCTTTCAGAACTGGGACACTGGCATATGTTCTCACACGGGTCAGGAGAACATGAAAAAATATAAACAATACAAAAAAATGCCATTCTCACTCTTCTTTCCCCTCGCTTTTGTTTTTGAGACAGTTCACAACAACGAGGCTCCTTTTTCCTGTAGTTTTCTGTTCCCAGGTTCGCTCGCGTACTGATGGCCCGCGGACACACATTCACACCAACTCCACTCGAAATCGACTGCTTGGATTCGATCTTTAAGTACATTAAAAGCATCAGCAAACAGTCGGCAAAGAGAGCATTTTAAATACCAAACACTGATGATTCAGAGAATGCTTAGTCATCAATCAATTAACATTTAGAACAGAACGTTCTCTGCTAAAATTACAAGGAAATGCATGGGGAAATAGTGCTTTAACAWACAAGGTAAACTCACCTCTCCTTTTTTTATCCCTCACTGTAAAGAGAAAGCCTTACAGCTTTTACATCACGTACACAACTCCAGCTCAGGAGAGGCCAAGATCAGTCAACAAGAACAATTCCCRCAAATTCCCAGCTTGTAGCAACAAGGAGAGCATCTGAGGGTTTCTGGAGTCTGAACAGCATGGTAGCAGTCAGTGTTTACATAGAGTAGCAGAAATTATAGACTGAGTTGTGTTGAGGACCTATTGCCTTCCCAAGTACTTGAACACTAAAGAAGGAATCAGGGTATTAGTGAGTGATGACCAGTTGCTGTGAGTTAGAGCCTGTGTAATTGGGACTTCTTACAATCCAGAATTATTCAAGTAATCCTAACATATTCTAACAATATTACCATAGTTAATTTATTCAGAACACTCAACCAAAGGTTCAAAAGTATTATCATCAAATATAAAGTTGCCTGTTTATGACGTCTTTAGACTGTTACCACCACTTAAGCACTTCGAGTACGATGTGTAATTTCTCAATATGAAGCTAGGTTTAACCTCTTTTAGGCACAGAAAAAAAAATGTTTTGCAGCACAAGTCACTTTTTGGGTTTTTTCCCCACACTTTTTACATTTTTTTACTTTTTTTAATCATTTCACCTTGCAGAAATCAAATCTCAGAGAAGTTTAAATGCAAACACAAACTTTAGAACAAATGCCATGAAACCACCCTTTATCAAGGGAAAAGCTGAAAACCGTTTCGTAATCTGGCCGTTCACACCGAGAGAAAAAGAGCAACGTCTGCATCGCCTTGCTAGTGTTTACCCCTTTTTTATGTTTTCTGGAACCACTTTGCCTCTTTTATGCTTTGTTTTTGCTTCTTCAATAGACTTTCATGGGGCTCTTGCTTGTTCCTGCATTTCACAAAGGGATAATACTTCAGTTTCTCAAATGTCTTTACAAGAAAATGCTTCACAACTTCTGTTTTCTCCTCTTTCAACACCCACCTTCTATGTGCCTTTTTTAGTAGTAATATGGCCAAGCACTCGTGTAGAAGGTTTTGCTGTGTCGACAAATAAAAATGGTGTGTTTTAAAATGATCAAACCACGTCTAAAACTTAAATCAGATACAGAATTATTCCCTGTTGTACCTTCATAGAAAAGTAGCTTGAAAATGTACTTGCAGGCCTTGCATAATATGACTCCAATTCTATGATTTTATTTATTTATTTGTTTTTGTCAATTACCTTTTGTATGAGCTATAGCCTTTTATGATCACAGTAAAGTATTTTTTGATGATACCAAAATTGTCTCAATTACACAATGGCTTTAAATCAGCCTGCACAATGGACTTTAAAGATCTCTAATCAATGCAGTTTCTAACGAGCACGAAGAAAACCACCCAAACGAAACGTTGCACATCGACTCCGGTATTAATCAACATTAAAACATGGCTTTGTTCACACCTTGAAGACCTTTAATGCAAGATAGATTGAAATTTAAAAAAAAAAGAAAAAGCATTAAACCACCCTCTCACTGTGAAGGCCAACATGGCACTAATTTTCTTTCTGTTTACTCGTCTTTCTTAGACCGAAAGATGCCAATCACTCTGAGAAACACACTAGTGGTCAGACGTATGTAATACTGTGATCCCACGCTCTGAATTAATGTCAGCCACAACGAGGCCCACGTTAAATAAGGCTAAGGATAACAGATTGTCTGCTTTTAATTGACGAAAACAGACGCCGTGCTTTGAATCCCAATTTTGGCCACAATRACCCCCTTTGCATTTTAAATCAGATGATTGAAACACTGTCCTGTTTGCCGAAGATTAATGACCTCTGCCTGTGTCGACACAACTACAAAGGGAGCAACAAGACAAAGCAGCAGCAGAAATCAAGGCCGCGTGACCCTCCCTACACACACACACACACACACACACATGAAATGAGCAGCCGGCCCCCAAACAAACGCCGCCCCGGCACCAGGTCTGCTGCACACCGGCGTTGAATCTCCCGCTTTGTACGGAGGACGTTAACGACCTCACAGTGTTTCTAATTGACATTTCTGAGATTTCTCACACATACGCCACATTTTTCACTCCTTTCCTCTGATCTCATTAGCTGTTTTTTTGCATTCATGTACCAATGTGTGTGTGTGAGGCTGACCAGCACATTTTATTACATGAACTAAATCATACGGACGTGATAACAAAGATGTTCTTTTTTAAAAATTTTTTATTTTTCCTTTTTGGCCTTTAAAGAAAATAGGGTTTTTTTCAATTGTTAAGCTGTAACCTTGATACAGAAGTTCTGCAAGTGTGTAAGAAATGTGTTTTTAGTGTTGGATCATGAGGGGAACAAAAAAAAAAAAAGAAATAATAATAAAGAAATAAATCTATGTGAGTGCCTCTCATCCCCAGCTTGGGTCAAGATTTAGGATCCAGAGCAGCTGTAGGTCTGTGTTAAACTTGTTTTTTAAGTTTCTTTTTACCCTCAAAGTGGTTCGACTTCAGCTCTGTTCTGTCTAATGTTCCGTGGGATAATGTTAATGAGGAACAAGTCTGGTGTTGTGCTCGTCTCACGTAAAAGAAATGTGGATGTAACCTTTRTTTACTAACCGTTGTGTCGCATTTAGGGGCAAAAAAAAGAGAAAAAAAAAGGGATCAAATATTTCCTGACAATCAGGTTTAATTTCCAATGTATCCCGTGTTGTCTCAGCTACATGTGTCTAAGAAACAATATGAGGATATTTAAAGGTTTTTTTATTTTTTATTTTTTGTAGAATAAATGAAAGGAAACAGGACAGCAGTCCTTTTTAATCTGCTGGCTGAGGGAGAAATCCAACTTGTTAGGTTCACACTAGGGTTCCCATCATGCAAAAAGCATTTTGTTGAGATCTGTGGGATATGCTCACAGATTAATGTTTGAGGGCAGAGGGGGGGCGGGAATATTTTAAAAAAAAAGGGGTGGTGGGGGGTTCCTGGATACTGACCAAAGACCGTGTTCTACCATAGTGTTTCCAAGCTGCTACTCACAGTTCAAACAACGGTGGTGCAATTACCGGCTGCATCTCCTGAGAGATTTTGTTTCCACTGATGGTTAGCCAGGTACCACGGCCACAATTATGAAAGATCTCGCAGCGCAGGAAGAGAGCAGCTGATTTAATTAGACGTGCGCAATCGCAGCAACTCCGGGTGACTTTTCAAATTTTCCACAGACAAGGACCACTCGGCTCACACATGTAGCCATCTTAGTTTGCCCCTCGTGGCCTCTGGCTCCGAAATCACAAGTCTTGGAGGCACAAAATGGACACAAGACGATGGAGAGAACAAAAGAGAGAGAGAGAGGGAAGAAAAAGCTTTTGTGACCTGACCACTGCAGTGCAGGAGCACTTTAGAGCCACAGGAACATGTAATGGTTAGCACTCATAACGTAGCCTGCCTCCCTCAGGTTTTCTTTTCTTTCTTTTTTTTTATTCTCCGCTTTATTCCTCTTTCAAAAGACTGCCTTATTACATTTGAATCTGAGGACTGCTCTTTTTCATCCCAACTGTTTCTTCTTTCTCCCTCTGAGCACTCTCTCTCACACACACACAGCAGATACAAACTCATCCTATTTTACTTTTCAATTATCTTTTGATCCCCAATCTTCTGTTCACTAGAACTATGCTTGCTTTCGCTCTCTGCTTGTTGTGTAACCATGCAGACAGAGAACTTCTTCCTCCACTTTCCTCTTACTCTCCATTCCCCCCCACTTGTTGCATGTTGGGTTTTTTTGTTTGTTTTTTTGAAAAGGAGTAATGATKGACAAATGCATGTTGTGATGAAAGAACTTTTTTATTTAGTTTTTTGTTTTGACCAGTGCAACTTTTGACTTTTATCTGCTGTTGGTTTGCGCAGGTAGTTCTCAGTGGAGACGGTTGGCGAGCATGTGTTTGTTTCCGGTTAAACAGAAACCCCATCATGGCGACAACAAAGCAAAAACTCAAAATGACTTCAAATACAGCGTTTGCGCTAATGCATGCCTGACGAGAAACACTGAGCATCGTGTTTGAATTCTCTTAGCTGAGAGCAGGAAATTATACACATATGAAACGCATGAAGAAGTCATTTTTGATCTCCTTTGTGTCGTCTTTTAACAATGATGGATTAAAGCAGTTTTCAAGCTGGATTAAGGAAATTGGACRAACAGATTCAGACAATCTCTAGCGTCACCCAGAAGGTCTCTTCAGTGAATGCGAAGCGCTTCTTTGTTTGAGTTGTGATGTGAGTTTTCTGTTGTGTTACAACATTTTAAAAAATCCTCTGTCCACCAACTTTCTTCAGGTTTTAAATGTGAAACAGGGTACGGCAGTCCTACGATGCTAATGACAGAAACTGGTGTGTAAAATACACCCGTGTTGTTTCCTCCCTGTGCAAACCACATCAGCTATTAGCCAAACTGTGACTGGTGCCAACCTTAGAGAAGATTACTCTGTCTGTCAGTACGTGTACAGTTAACTTTACATATATTATGCAAACAGTTTGTCTGCACTGTACAGTTTGTGTCCGATCTATTGTATACACGCAGAAAATAATAATATTGAATAAAGGATTTATACAAAGGAGGCGTGGCTGGACTCATTTCTTGATGTTAGACAGAAAAGTTAAATGTTTCAAAGCATCCCACTGTTACACAGTCATCCACATCTGATTCAATCTTCGCCCGAATTTATTTATTTATTTTTATATCGAGAAAAGGCATCCGGCTTCTGCTTCAAGAAAGGTTAACTGCTTGTGCAAAAACAGGTGTTTAATGAAATGCAGTCTCACAGAGGAGGTGATGATGTCGGTAACCGAGCTGCATTTTTATGCCAAGGTGCTTTTTTCCCCCAAGTGGTTAAAAACGACAATGGAGACAGAGTCACTTTGATAGAAATGGGTTTAATTGAGCCCCCTAATGCTACCTCTCCTAACCCATTGTGCGTCTTCTTGTCTGTTATGCTAATCATGTAGAGTGCAGCTGGCAGACCGCCTGTAGCTGCTTCACCAGCTGCCTGCAGACACGAGGAACGAAGGCCCGAGCTCTGCTGCAGCCACGTTTATCTCATATCCACTCAGTTTGTTTGTAGCCATTCATCCATTTATCGTGTTGAACGTCGAAGTGAGCTTTTGTGGAGAAGTTGATAACAGTTAATATCTTACCTGTTGTAGATAGTTTTTTTTTCTCAATTTTGAGAAATTGAGTTTAGTTTTGCCCTGGACTGATTATTGCCATCTCAAAACTACTCCAATCTAAAATAAATTCTCATAGTGGTTCGTGTGAATAGTTTTACAAACTTTGACATCAGTTTCTCAAGTGGAAAACTTGATATTTACGAGCTGCTGCAGCATTCTACTCTGTGCTTAAGATAACCACGGAATTCTATTTTCTCATTTTTTAAGTTGTTTTGATATGCTCAGAGCAGCCATTGGCTTTCTATTCTATAACAGGTAAGATATTTTTACTTTATATTTTTTCCAAAAAAAACTTGCATTTAGAGCTGCAGCGTGACGTATTTTAAACAGAGAATTTGGTCTCACTTTACTAAAAGCCCCTCTTTATAAAGGGTTTGTAGTGGTCACCTAGGGGTGGAATAAACAGTTGCACCTGTCTTTACCTTRGTCTCAGAAGACCTCCTTCACAGAGACAGAACTCTGTTCGAGTTAAAGTCACAAGTTTTCTTAAACAGTAAAGAAAGAGACATTTTCTTCTTATTAATCAGATAATAAACAGAATAATCTTCTTTTATTCATAATTTTATCGATGTATAAAAAAGAAAACACAAAAAGAATGTTATTAAAATGTTTTATTGTGCTTTGATGTAAATCACTGCTTGAACTGTGAAACCACAGTAATTGATTGTAGATTTTTAAGTTTACATATTTTACTTAACTAAACTTTGCATTATGGTTGAGCTTTGTTTTGAAACATTTTATAATTATTTTTATCTGAATCATTATAATGAATGTTTTATATGAAATAATTCATTTTTAAGTTTTCAGTAAATCATTCTTTTTGTTCTTTAAAGTGCCCTCAGCAGAGAGCAGGTCAGAACGAGCTGTACGACTGTGCAGACGTCAACAATTTTTGTTTAAGACAAACAACACCTGGCAGTGCTTAATAACCATCCAACTTTTAAACTAACATCTCTGAACTAACAGTCAGTCTGTTGATTTGATTGAAGGATACAGAGAAGCGCCTCGTCTCTGATCTTCCAGTGAAAGCTGCCCAGAAGATGCTGAAGGAGTAACGTAAAGAGCCTGGAAAGTGTCCGACTGGATGAGGTTCCGAGAAGATATTACAGAAAATAAGAAGAACCTGTGAATTTCCTTATAATTTTTATTATAAGAAGGTGTRTAAATCCCTACAGGTTTATTAATGCTTTATAAATGGGTTATTCATGATATGTTTGTAAACGGTGGTGCAGTGATCAGAGTTGTTGCCTCTCMATAGGAAGGACGCAGGATCAACTCCCTGCTAGGAATTTTTCCAGGTTGAGTTTACGGTTTTCTTCAGGTACTCCGTTTCCTCCCACAGACCAAAAACATACATGTTTGGTTAATTGGTAACTCTAATGGCATTTTTACACTGTGAGGTCCAGCCTGAGTTCAAACTCTGGTTCTGCTGTAAGGCTTCACTTCCAGCATGATTTCTGGAACCCAGACATCTAGGGTTCTGTTCAGGCCAGGCTGCTGTGGCAGATGGAACATCTTGCTGTGTTTCAGCTGGTCTTGAAATATATAGAGAAAGAAGAGAAGCTTTGTGTCAACCTTTGTTGTGTTGCTAATAAAATGACCTCACCTAAAGATTGATTTGTTGATGTGATGATGATCCCGCCCACATTGAGCCAGCGCTCTGCTCAAATCAAACACAACCGAGGCCAGGCTGGGCCTTTTCAGTGAGAGTGTGAGCGTGTCCCCGAGTGTCTGTGTGGTGGACTTGTCCAGGGTGTCCTCACCTCTCACACAGTGACTGCTGGAGATAAGCACCAGCCCCACACAACCGGGAACAGAGAAGCAGGTAAAGAGGTTGGATCAGTAACTCTTCTTACACTGAAGCAGACAAGATAAAGTGTTGGACTTTGGTTTATTGAGGTCATTGTGAGTTTCCCAGATAACTGTTTGAACTAAATCACTTTATTTTAGGGATGCACCGAGTTTTCCTCAAACCGAGTACTTACTGAGTTAGAACTTAAACAATATGGAGTGATTATAAAAACTTTTTAAAATTAGAACCTGGTACCAAATCAGATACCTGATGTTTATTATTTAACCGGCTCTGATTGCACAACTTCAGACTCAACATGCTAACATGTAGCATCCTCGTGTGGCGACCTGTTTGTCCCTGTAACCAACAGTGATCTGAATGTGACATTACATCATCTTCTGTGCGTGCGTGTCACGTGGACAGCACAATGTGTTCACACTGGAGTCTAATGGAGGTTGCATCTAAAATATAAATGTCCACGCACAAAAAAACTTTTGATTCTGGGTATTGGGGCATTTTGAAGGAGAACAAGTATTTGTAAAAATGCTGGTATCGGGCCCAATATCCGATAGCAGTATTGGTGCATTCATGCTTTACTTACAAAAAAAAAAAAAAAAACACTTATGGTGCTTCTACGCAGGTAACTTACTGACAAATCTTTGATATTTCATATCTAAATGATGCAAAAATGAATGTACACCACTTRATCCTGCCAAACCGTGAGTCAAACTCATGAATAGCCTATAATATAGGTTATTATAGGTTATAACACATGAATAAATCCTTTATAAAGGGGGCATTTTTGTAAAGTGGAACCTTGAATTTTGAAATAAAAAGTGTCTTGTGCTTCAAAATGAATATCAGTCTTAATCAGACAAGTTAGTGTTGTTTTGTAAGAAGAGAACGGCCTAGATTTATCAGTTTGCCCTTGATTTTTATTTTTAATTAAACAACATGAATATCACTGATCGTGCAAACGCTCGTTATTCAAAGTGGCAACACAGGAGGAACAGAGGAAAGAGTGCCGTGCGCTACGATTTAAATGTGCTACAAWTTTATTTTTAATCAATTTACCGCAAACAAACAAAGTGACAAACCCCGAAAATCCTCAGGGGGCTCGCCGGTTCGCCCTGCTTCAAATCTAAAAGACGGAGAGACACGGTGAGGGCAACGCCAGCCGTCTGCAAATGAAAGTCCCATTAAACACCTCCACGATCTGGCAGACACGAGCTGCTGGAGAGACAGATTGGCAGCCTGACACGCTGGGAGGAAGAAACACTCATCACACACACCCACACTGCAGCGCCTGGCCTCCTCTAAATGACAGGTGAACCAGCAAATACTGTAATTAGGTGGATGTGATTAAAATTTGCATATGTAAATGTAATATAAATGAAGTGCACTCTGAAGAGCACCACGGTGTTTAATTAGTGAAGACGGGCAGGAAAAACTGTTCACTTCATCTTTYGTTTAAAACTTGAATACAAGTTTTGTTTTTCTTTAAACCAGAGGTGGTCCAGTCCTGGTCCTCGAGGGCCACCGTCCTGCACAGTAGAGAGCTCTCTCTGCTCCACACACCTGATTTGAATGATGGAGTAATTACCAGGCTTCTGCAGAACATGAAGAGGTAATTTAATTACTAAATCAGGTGTGTTGGAGCTGGGAAACAATGAAAACATGGAGAATATCACCCCACAAGAACAGGATTGGACACTCCGGATTTAAACATTTATACGTTCAGGAGAAAAAGTATATATATATA